CATCTCCCCAGACCCTGCCTCACACTCGGAGTCTAACTTGGAACAAATCCGAGCGACTTTGTCTTGCAGATGCTCTGAAAATTCCTCTGCACGGCCCTGCAAATGAACCCCCACATCCCCCTTACCAAGGAGGGACCTAGTGATCCTAAACAGGGCTGCCTGGTGGCATTCTGCGGACGCGATAAGGGCAGAGAAGTAGTGGTGCTTCACCGCTCTTATTGCCACAAGGTAGGCCTTGATAGCGGCTCTAACCTGTGTTTGGTCAGATTCAGTCTTTGTTTTCCTCCAGCGGTGCTCTAGATGTCTCTTAACCCTCTTCAGCACCCTCAACTCCTCCATGAACCACGGGGAGTGTCAGGGCCAATGTGGCAAGAGAGGTCGCATAGGCGCGATCCTGTCCCAGGCCCCGGCCGCCTCCCTATTCCAGGCAGCAGCCAAGGCCTCCGCTGGACCGTGCAGCAGATCCATGGGAATATCCCCCAGCTCCTTCTGAAACCCTGAGGGGTTCATCAGGCGCCGGGGGTGGACCAATCACAATATGTTGTGATTATCGCATGATTTTTCTCTGTGTTCATAAAAAACTAATGTAGAAAAATGATTTCTTACTACCCATCCAAAATAACAATATTAGTGCAGTGAATCTGTACGTGGAATCTTCCAGCAAAATCAAGGGACCTGCCATCTCAACTAATTTTAAGATGCCTAAAGGAATTAATATTCATATGCTGAACCATATTTAGATTCACAACTGTAAAATTTTGATAAGCCCCAAAGGAAGTTGCTGCATGCTCAGATTTTGCACTGATTTATGGCTAGGGCTATCTCTCTTACATTATTTGCATTTTGCTCACTCACTTTATCAGCTTCTGAGATGCTCACATATGCTATGTATCACAACAATTCCTAACTATAAAATCCAGTTAAAATGATAAAAACACATGGTCATGTAAGTCCTAAAAGCAAAAAAAACAAAACCATAACCACCAAGGGGAAAAAAAAAATCAGCATCCCTATCACCCCTCCTCTAACACCTCAGTTAAAAAGGATGGTTTTCAGTTGTTTCCAGGATACCAGTAAGGAGAGATCCATTCTAAATTCAGAGGAAAGATAATTCTAGAGGGTTGAAGCGACCATGGAGAAGGCTTCCCTTTGTGCTGCCGCCAGCAAACCTTCCCACCCACCTACTTGGAGGACATAGTCCTGTAAAACAGAGCCCTTTAAACCAGCACTTTCAGTTGTATCTGGAAGCTCTCTGCTAGCCAAAGCAGCTCCCATGAGATAGGTGTAATTCTACTAAAGCAGTCAAACGGCCACATTATGACCAGTTGCAGTTCCCAGCAGTCGTCAAAGTAAAATGAATTCTAGTAATCAAGTTTTGAGATCATGAGGGTATGAGTGACTATCTCTAGAACAGAAATGGCAAAAGCTCAGAAATGGCAATAGCGGTCCTGGCCATGGGCTCCATCTGCTGTTCCAACAGGAGCTATGATTCTAGAAGACCATCCCCCCTCAACATCCCAGACCACCTCCCTCCATAGTAGTGCAACCCAGTAAAGAACTAAACATGGCATTATATGGGATCTGGGATCTGGGTGTTCTCTGGATAAACAGCCATTGTCTAGCTGGGATTTGATCTGAGCCTGTTCTGTCCAATTCCTAACAGCTTCCAGACTCCAGGTTGGTCAGGACAGCCACAGCATCTCCTGCACAGTCCAAAGTTAAGATATACAACTGCGTGTCACTGACATATAGAAGATATACCTCACCCCAAACTGATAAATTGTATCTTCCAGAAGTTTCATCTACATGTAAAGTAAGATGGAGGAGAGGGCCAAGCGACCAAGGATTTTATCTCTCATCCCCCTCTACCACCAAGTGGACCTACACACTCAGGAAGGAATGGGACCATTAATGAATCCTCAGTCCTCACAGACACTCCAGAGAATACAATAATAAATGGCACTGAACACTGTTGAGAGGTTCTAGCAGGATCAGAAGGGCTTCACTCCCTGCATTCAAGTCCCACTGCAGAACATCCATGAGAGCAACTATTGTCATTTTTGTCCCATGCCCAGGCCTGAACCCAGACTGGAAGAAATCCAGATAATCAGATCTTTCAGGATCTTGTGCAGATTAACTGCAAACATTTTCCCAACAATCTTCTGTGAAAAAAAGCTGTACAAGGCCAAGGGAGGGCTTCTTCAGAGGGGGCGCATCACCACCTGCTTCAATTACAACTCTCACCCGAAAGAAGCATTCACTTTGAATCCAAGGACCTGCTCCCTCCCTAGCAACTCAAACAAGCCAGGAATATTACATATCCAACCCACAAGTGGTTGAGCTCACACTACCAAAGACTATGTTTGCCCTCTTTCTACAGGTTCAAAAGAATTCCAGATGATGTCAGAAGAAGCTGCCCCAGTCATCTTAATGGATTTTGTCAGTACTGAGTTCAAGCAAATATGAGCGATGTTGTCCTCAAAGGGATTTTCAAATAGTTACTGCAGTCTTATGGTAGGTCTGGCCCTATTTCATGATAAATACAGTGACTTGGCCAGATACTGATGACATAAACATAATTCAAAGAGAAACAGTTCTGTGAAACAGCCCATTTTTTACTGTTTATATATTTGATATTTTTGCAAGAGATTCTTGCAAAGGAAGGAAGGAATCCAAACAGCCCCCCAAAAACTGTTCAGATTTTAAAACAAGATTTCATCAAGCAAAAAAACTTACATTTTTCACAGAACTGCTTCAGTTACTGCATGCTACTTCTGTAGAAGCTAAAGACATTAGACACACTGCACAACATGCATAGAAACAGATTCTAATTTCAGTTTGAAAGGCTGCTCAGTTTTTCTTACCTAAACAGTTGCTGACCTCTAGCGTTCGCTCAACCCTTCGTCACAAAGCACGAGACAGAACAAAAACAAGAAACATTTTGCAAAACAGAGCAGCGGATAAAATGAAGTGTGCATACGTGGGGAAGGTACTTCAGGAACCCTTTATATGTTTCTGTAAGGAGGTTTGGTTGCCAATGGTTTTAAAACTGCTACAACAATTATCAATAAATGTTCTTTTTCCTGAAACATCCATTTCTGGGAAAGGTAGTGTTGTTTTTAACCCAGTCCAGCACACATCTCCTGCAGTTCCAACCCCACCCAGGATGCTTACTATAAACGGTTAAAGATTGGAAATCGTGCACTTCCTCTCCCTTACACCAGCTGCTGATCTTTGTTCCCTTTCACCCCACTAAGAATGTCAGGTCTCAACTGCTCCAAACCATGGACTTAACTGATACATTCACACATCTTTAGATTCATTTCTTTTTCCAAAAGATTTTTCATACTTCAGCAAGCTGAAACTTTGCCACTTTTGCTGACAGCTCCTTCTTGTGGATGGATGATGCCATGAGAAACCTGTGGCCTTTCAAACGCTGCTCTGCTACATATGGGTGTAGTTCAGCAGCATTTGAAGAACCATGGTTTCCCCACACTTGATCTTTCCTACCCTAAGTGAGCCTCTATGCCAGTGCTTCTCAACCTTGGCAACTTTAGAATTCTGGGAGTTGAAGTCCACACATCTTAAAGTTGCCAAGGTTGAGAAACACCGCTCTACACTAAAGGTTAAGAAATTGTGAATTTGTGGAAATGGCAAAGCTGACCAGTTTGGTCAAGGAAAAAACAATAAAGACTGGAAACCTTATATGGACTTTTTGTTGAAAGAAGAAAAAACCAAATTGATGATTGATAGATTTGGGGACTAAAAAGGATTAAAGAGGGAGGGGAAAGTATAAGATGGCAACTACTTGATAGAAAGAAGAGCGGAAGTCATAATTCTATATTTTCTTTCCTTTTTTTCTTTCTCTTCTTTTTTCTTATTTTCTATCTTCCCTTTTTCTTATTTTTTCTTTAATTTTTATACTTCCATTGTATTCAAAAATTCTAATAAGGAGAGAGAGAGAGGGGAAGGAAGGAAGGAAGGAAGGAAGGAAGGAAGGAAGGAAGGAAGGT